TAAAACTCGGATTGTCTGTGTGTTCTTTATCTAGTGCAAAACAAGTTGACAAGGTCTCACGAATGCCATTTTTTGCTCGAGGATACGAAGTTCAACACACCCGCCGTTGAATATGAAAGAATTGCATTAGCGGTCTAATTTGCTCAAATTCAAGCAAATGCTAATTCGCTATTGTCCTTGCGGCAAAGCGCTCTTATGAAAGTTTTATGGCTACGACGGTGCCATAACAACGTGCAAATGAAGCTTTGAGAACAAAAATTATATAATTGGGCTTTGCACTTGCTAATTCTTGCGGGTAGATGCTCATACTAAATAAATCTTGTTTTTTGCGGATTACCGTAGTCTGGCAACTTACAGAAAAAGAGAAGCTCTTTTGCTGTAACTTTTGATGACTCATACATGCACAAGATTTATTCTCAAGGGAATGAGCAATTGGAGAGTGGACTACGGTCAGTGGTAAAGAGTTCTGACTATAGTTATCTTGAAGTATCTAACCGTAGTAGGAAATTAATGATGTATAGTGTAGCACGGTATAGCAGTTTTTCTTTTGTTACGGTGTGAACTCTGATATAAGTGTATATAGTTTCAAAATGTTCCGCCGCAAGTTGTGAAAAATCAAAATTCCTTTTCTTTTACTTGATACATATCAACTATATTTGATCTTTTTGACAATTAGTCTAATAATTCCAGGAGAAATGAGTTTCTCCCATAAGTTAATTTTACCTCAATATTGAAGCACTTCTCTACCTGTGTCCTGATTTTCATATTTTTTATCAAATATTATTGTCGCTGCCAAATCTATTTTTGACAGTTGATTAGCACAAAGATAATTATCTCAAAATTTTTGAATGCCTAATCAAGATGTATATTCTCTTTAAGAACAACTCTCAAAATGTTTGAACAAATTAATGATTACTAAAATAAAGAATAGTCTCACTAAGTGGTGAATTCGTCATTCTGCAAATTTTCGCTGTCACTGTAATTTTGCATATGCTTGTCTTTTATGTTTTATTTTCCCGATGTGAAAATAAAACTGTTTTTGATAATATTTTGGCAATGTATTTCACTTGTGGAAAAGGTACCCAATTCACATCCACGGATCTTTCAGAATGCTTTTGAATTTTGAATTTACATAGAGTTTCAACAACTGGTTCCGATTTCACAGTATCACGATTCACACGAGATCAAATTGAAATTTAAAATATAATACATCTTAAAACGACATAAAGGATGATTTATTGCTTGTTTTTTGTAGCCCTGTCCATTTTTCTTTTAGATAAATTCGATAAATTCGCGCTGTAAGAGAGAGAGAGAGTACGATTAAGGTAATCAGTTTTGCTAAAATATCCGTTTCGTCCTTTCTCTTCACAAGAGCCCTTCTATCCAAAATCGCCAAAAATCCCTCTCAAAACCTCTGTTTACTTTTTGTGTGCTAAACCGGTGCTCGTGTCCGTAATCATTCGATGCGCGCTCATCAAAACGCAGTTTACCGCATGCACTATCGACTCTGAAACGATCTAGGCGGGGATAATCCGTTGTGGAACACACAACGTTGGCATTGTGAATAGAGGGGGGGGGGTTGGGCTGTGCTGACGGCCCGTTATTTCACCGCTGCTCGTGAACAAAGCCTCGTTTCCGATTGCTTTTCGAGGTCGACCGGATCTGCAACGACAACTGTGCCGAATCATTCGGTTCGGGACGGACATGCATCTATCAATTCATAAGCAAACATAGCCAGTGTGCAAATTTTGCTCCTCTGCTCATTTGGCATGCTCGTCGCGGCCTTTAATAAGCTCTTCTCTGCGTAATTTACTCCCCGACATGGGGCGGGACCCCGCTTCAGGGTATTATCTTTGCCGATCCATGCCCCGAGAAGCGAGCCCTATATTAATTTAGAAGAGAGCAGTGTGCAGTCATGCATAGCACGACGAGCCACCTCCATTCCAGAGAAGGGCTCGAAGCCGACTAAAGTGAATCACGTGAGTCACTAGCGCTTCCTAGTAAGGTGAAAGGCTCTAGACTCATGAATCTGTTCACTCAAGGACGGACAGCTGTTTAGAGGAGCTGACGGACGAACGGTCATAGGATTTTTTATGGCAAATTTCGAGCTCCAGCTGGGACATGAAAAAACATTGGCATTTTGCGTTCATGAACATCTGCAGTCTCTTCTACTCTCCCCGGACAACTCGTCCAGATGCACTCTTCCACCTAACTCTTATCAGTCCATTCTGTTTCCTTTCTTAGCGCATTAAATTCTATTTATGGCCATTTTCACGCGTCATAATTCTCAAACTAAAGACTATGCACTATCGACTAGCCTGGCACACTCCAACCCATTACCCCCCCCCCCCCCTCCCACTTCATGAGTCACTTAGTCCAGAAGCGGTATTTGGGGGGTGTCACCTGATACTCGTCCGGAATGATGCCCCCCAGCAGGCAGATGTAGCTGAGCCTCCATCGATTCATCTCTCATCCCACCTCAATAAAGGGGCACATCCCTCAACTACAGTACTCTTCTCTGCAACGAGTTGTTCTTTTGCAAGGTGTATCATTTCTCTCTTCGAATGTTCGCTTTCTCTGCCCATTTCGCTCACAACAAAGCACTCTATTTACTTCATTCGTGTGTTCACGCACACACGCAGACCTAACAGTGGAACCCACGAATTACCATTCCTGGGCGCATATTCGCATATTCAATGGGGATTGCTGGCATTCCTGGAATAATAACTGGGGCTATAATTCACCAACCTAGGTATTTTCTATGATTTTCTCATGCTTAGGATTTTTCAAAGGGCAGCAGCTTTCCGAGGGAATATTGCTCTCAAGGGGTTTGGGTCTTAGGCCTAAACCATATTCACTACCATTTTCCTATTGTGAAACCACTTTATAGAGACTGTGACAGAGATTTTTTCCTTCTGTAACAATTTCGTGAGTATTTTTTATCTCTTTTTTCCGAAATTGGAAATTTTGAAGCAGCTTGTACGATTAACTCAAATGAGTTTTAATATTTGTTATTTTATAGATATTCTCTCAACATCATCATACAAAAATCATGCGGGTTTTGGTTGATACATCTGCTCTATGATTGGGTAACCCTTCTTTATGAAAATGAAATTTGTTTTGAGCACTAAACTTTGAATTTTTGGTTTTGATCCCAACTATAACTGTTTTTTTTGAAATGTACCTCATTCTACATCACGAATATTCCATCTTTAGGATACCGTACAACTCTAACGAATCTTTCGAAACTCACTTACGCAAATGGCTCCTGATTCCTCCCCTATCATTGCGAAATCCTAAAATATCTTACGGTAGCTGAATAGCTGACTCAGCAACCTAATTCAGCCCAACTCTCCAACTCAAGTAGACTTTCTACTTATCAGCCGGAAATGTCCTCTTCCAGCACGGGTTGCTATCAGTTGCGGCAAAACATTTGGATGAGCAATAACAGATAAATGATTGATGGCACAGCGGTTCGTCATCACACTCTTTGGCATATGTATGTTACGAGAGAGAGGCAGCTTTTGGTGGGAGGGGGAGCTTAAGTCAGGAAATTTATTGTTTAGAGTTCGCATAGCTAGAATTATATCGAATAAAGAATACTATCAGCATTTGTTCGACTCAGATTTGCGGTCAATATCCCAATTTCTAGTGAACTTTCTACCTTTTTTACTCGAACGAAAACTGTCGAAAAACTTTGAAAAACCAAAATCCATTCTGGTATATAATTTGGGTTAATGGCGTCATTATATGTGATCGTTGATTATATCTAACTAACGTTCATCACATTTAACGAGCTGCCTTTGCCTTCAAGATCATCTAGACTGTGAGTTTCCTTTGATTTAGCTTGACGGTAAAATTTTGAATCTTCCTTTTATCGCAATAAAATGCAGATCAATTTCTCGTACATAAATGGTAGTTTTGGCTGATTTTATAAGTTTCAACATGTAAAGATTTTTTAAAAAATTTTGGAGGAGACAACTTTCCTTTTTGTAGATCATTCTCAATTTTCTTTTTTGTAAAGCTTATTTCTAGCAAACTGATGCCATTTGCTCTTTTCAAAAAATGCCAAAATCTATATATTGTAACTTTTTGAAACTCAAAGGTCTGTAAGTGCCAGAAAGTGTCCCAGAAAATCACTTTGCATCCATAGTTGCTTAGAATGCTTTATAGAAATCCCTCTAGCATCTAAAATTTCCTAAAGATGTCCTATAAAAATTACCCCAACTTTTATTTTTCCTAGAAACGTTCCGCGGAATTTACTCTAGCATCTACTATTGCCGAAGATGTTTTATAAAAACTATGTTCGTACTCTTCAGAATTAACGTAAATTCTGAGTTACAAAATCATTGCTGCGCGTTATGAACAAATTTGAATCGAATTTTACCTTGATTTCCCAATTTTTCAAGGTTTTCTGAACTCTCGGTCCTCCTCCATTGTTTTCCATTATTCTCTCCATCATTTAATTGCCATTGCGATCGTTTTGCTATGGAATCCAATGGCGGTATGACGGCGGTGACGATTATTATGCATGGCAAGACGCTCATTGCTCGTCGGCTGCCGCGTCTCAGCCCGCCCGCCCCTACCGTAATCGCGCGCCGCTCCGACCCCTCCCCCGCCCCGCGTCTCGCTCACGGAGGGAGCGCGGAACGACGACAGCCGTGTGTCAATAGGCGCTCCGATAGTCAGCAAACAGCCATACACACATACATATACACTCTCCAAATCGGGGGCCCCGGCTCGGATCAATGGCAATGAGAGGGGCGATTATTTGAGTTTCAAATCGATGACAAATTAGTCCGGGCGGCCGCCGACTGTGCGCCGACTGTCGCCATGGTTTGAGGGAAATAGAGGGGATAGGGAGATTGATGGCCGCGTAATCGAAGCTAATTTCCAAGATGGGGGAGGGCGAACTTCTGGCTAGCCGCTAGTAATTATCCGTCCTTTGAATTCGCTTTCGACCGCTGTCTTTTCCAATTATCCGCCCCGTTCATTTATTTATGAGTAATTTAGCGGCAGCGCATCTGTCGCTTCGCGGCTTTACACTCATCACGTCTCGACCTACTCGACTCGTCGATCTGTCTGGTCCACAATATCCGATTCGCTCACATGCTCCAATAGTAGTTTCAGGTTGGTTTTTCTGTACATTTTACAATTTTTTACTACTATTGGTTTATAGCCAAGGCTACCGTAACCGTCATCAAGTTCTGCAGTTATTGATTAGAACATCGCAAATCTTTGGGGTTTTGAACCATCAGAAAATTACTTCACAGGCGATAAATACTTATTTTTGAAGCTTTTGTGTAGAAGCTACGTTTGCGTTTTTCTACTAACTGAAATTATCAAACCAAATCTTTATTGAATCAACGCTCCACTCCTCCTTCAACCAGCGACGAGATTCAACAGTTGTCAAGAAAAGTCTAGCTTTGTTCCCATTTGCTTCCTATTTCTTGTTACCCGTCAACTGGAAATTTTTTCCTCTTTCCTCGAGTAATTTGTTGTAGGTTTCTGAGCTTTCCAGAGCTCCTTTACTTGATAAAAAATTGAAAAATCCAAAAATTAGCTTTACTCGCAAAATTCTATGCGTTTTAGTCTCCAATTCCGTAATAAATAACATGAGAACATTTTGAAAGATCGCCGTGAAAATATTGTAGAGCGCAACTAATTTGCTAAAAATTAACGGAAAATCTCATCGATACGCAGGGGGGCTGAAATCCGCCCATTTAAATGTCAGGATGTCGAGAGATTTCGGAGCTGTCATCGAGCGCATTGATTTCTAGGAGTCTTGGCACACCTTGGTTTTTTATGTTCTCCATACTCTTTTTGATTATTTTGATTGGAATTGTTAATAGAATGATTTACAGCTGATCCAAAAATTTAACGATCAATTATTCATTCAATATTCTCATTGTAAATATTGTCGTCCTCACTTCAGTAGGGGCCTACGTAATTGCACTACTTCACAAATTTGCTTTGACCAGCCTTTTCCAATCCCGCAAGATCGTTTTTGAATTTCTTTTTCGTCATTTGATATGTAACGATCCTATAATTACTGATAACGATACCGCCACTCGTACCCTTCAGATCGAAAAAAATGGTGCAATTACACAAAATCTCCTTGATGTATTGAAAAGTGCTGTAAGATACTGTGCTCCATTATAACTTTCCCATACTTTTTCTTTTTCTAGTCATCTAGGCCTGAAAATCAATAACAGAAAAATACAGGACGATTATATGTAAATCATCAAATATTGTGCACCAACCGGTACCCATCACTCAACCCAATGAGCATATGCACATAATCCTTCTCTAATCCCCGCACACTACTCAAACCCTTCTGCATTTCAGACGTTCAGCCAAGACAGCAGCGAGACGACGGCGCTCCAGCGAAGATGTACGAAGACATCAAACCGTGGGAACTTATACATTTCTAAGCATTCCGAGCTGCTCCCAGTTCACCCTTAGCTTCCTTTCCCTGCAAAAGGATTCAAAATCTTTTGTGTTTGAAAAAGTGGGAAGAGCCGATGTGAAACTCTTTGTGAATCGTTTCGGAGAGCCACTCGACCCTCAAAAGAGCGCGGATCGGCATCGCTTCTCATCGGCTCAAGTAGACATGACAATGTCACATCAAACAATCCACTGAGGCCATGACTTGTCATCTCCCAGCCTCGACAGCCGCTTTACCATAGCTCTGGGGGAAGAAAGAATGGGGGGGTTGTAAGCTGGGAGGGTTAAAGTTTTTAGGAGGGGAATTCGTGAAAAGTGCTCTTTGACTACGATGTGTGGGTTACTTTTTTGCTCATTTTTTATTTTTTTCATTGATGCAATGCAAATTCTGTTTGGAGGACTCTTTCTACTATAATTGCGGCTCGTAGGTTGGTTATTTTGCAGTTTGTAGTTGAGGGGAAGGCAAAATTTGCTTAGATTGTTCCTTGAGGGAGACTGGTTGGTGACTCGAATATTTTTCTATTTTTCCAAGAGAGGGATGGAACCAAATTCGTTTACAGCGCTTTCAGCTACTGGAGCTGTGATATGTGATTTGAGTAGTTTCTCGAAATTTTTTTCAATTAAGGGAGAGATGCAAACTCTGTTTAGATTATTTGTTCAGTCATGAGAAGTATGACTGGTTTCGATTTTTCTGTTTTTTCATATTCTAAATTTTTATTTTTCACTCTCAAAGTGCGCTAAAGCTGATAAAAATAATTGAACATAACTTTATTCTACCAGAAAACTTGCAGGTGAAAGCGAAGCATCTAGGAGAGTTTTCAATTTTATTGATTTTATTGATTTTTTAAGTAATAACAGTTTTCAGAAACACGCTTGAGTTCTTCAACTCAAGAAGTCGAGTAAAACATCTTGATGCGGAGGAGAAAATCGTCTTCTTATTTGATTACTCAACAGCGTGAGTAATCAAATCTATTCCTACTGTAACGTATGTAAATTCAAGAGATTTGAACATTACGACCTAAAAGTTGAGGTTTTTTAGACCCAGCAAACCTGCCCTAGACGGAACAAATGGACCATTGATGTATGTTGTTTACTTTTCGTTTGTAGTTTTGGCATTCGATGAGATTTTTCCAGATTTTCCAGTAAAGAAGTGATCGATTGGAGAGTGCTTCGTGATTTGGTAAGTCTACAATTTTTATCCTGTTTTGTTGCTTCTCATGCTTAAATCTTAAATCTAACCATAAATATTGTCAAAAAATTATCCCATTCGAATTCCCCAGACTCCCACTCGAGAAAAAAGTTTTCAAATTCTGCAGATCGCCAAATCTCGAGATAGCATTTTGTTTTGAACTTTCCAAGTTGAAGCTCTAATTTGTCATCTCTGTTGTATCATTAATCTTCACACACCCGTTCGTTTGCTCAAAATCCCAGAAGAATATTTTTTTGGCTGATGACTCATGCAGGGATTTGAACATACACAGATGCAATATGTCAATCTTCTAAAGTTGCTGTACTGTGGGTCTGCAGGAGAAAGTTTCTACCAGTTGTTTGAACTTCTTTTAGCTTCTGCAGTTAGCATTATTTGAAATTATTTTTTGCGATTTTTTTCGGTCGTTTCTACCTCATGACATAAGATGATTTCGATTCTCAAGCTGTCGTTATCCTCAGCAACACATGTAGCCGAGCACCCGACAGACATGACAGCTCGCTGTAAACTCGTCATCGAAGATATCTTGTCTCATTTTGATGTCAAAAACATATTTTCAATCCTTTGAAAAGGCGCACAAAAATCTTCACGTCGATTTTATGTGCGCGATTATGTAAGTGATTAACGTCGAATTCAAAAGGACCAAATGAAGGGAAATCCCGCATAATCTCAAAATTAATTCATTTTTTGGCTTGGCAGCTACTATAAAGGTCGAACATCCTCTTAGCAAAGTCAATCTTCATTCAATGTAAGCTACTTCTGCAGACTGACAGCTAGCTAAAGGAGGAGGGCGGGGGGGGGGGAGGGGGAAAAGGAGTTGAGGGACGGAAAGAGGTGATAAAAATATGTAGCTGGAGGGGGAGGGGGGGGGGGGGAGGAGGAAAGAAGGGGGAAAGAGTGATTTAGTAAAGAAAATTATGTCTTCTGATGAAAAGAATTGTTGCATTTTTTATTCTCCAGCGACATCTTCTATGAGTTGCAAATTCTGGATTTGCTTCACTGTGATCAAGTAATGAGAAACAGATGTTAATGAGAGCTTTCTTCTTTTTTGAAGTCTGAGAACATCATGCATCTTGCTCAAGAATATTCTATGATGTTCTTTTTTTGTTAATTAAACGAGTAAAGTTCATGGTTATTATACTCTGATGGTCTTTTCAGTTCACCTAGCTTTGATTTTTCCTGATTTGAATATTAACACGTTGACGACGGTGTCGCGCAATGGTGCGCGACACCCTAAACATCAGAATGTGCACAATGGTTCCAATATGTGTTCTCATAATCAAGTTAAGCTCGAAGGTATTTCATGTTGGCCCCGCCCCCTTTCTGGCAAACTCCGCCCACTCCACTGCCACCTAAAAAAAATTTTTTCAAATCGCATAGAAAAGCTCATAGATGACAGGAGAACTTTAAACAATCTCAATTTTGATCCCGCCCCCGTAATTCAGGCTCCACCCGCACGGTGGCAAGCTCGCTTACATTTCAAAAATGCCGGAATTTGCACGACTTCATTGATTTTGAGCAATTTCCAGCATTTTTGAAAAGTGGGCGGGGCTTGCCAAAAGTGGGCGGAGCTGCCCCGCCTACTTGCATTTGTGTATCTCACGCATAGATGCATGCATATATGTGTGCAGCCGGCTGTGAAAATGCCCGGAAACGGTTCGTCCACAGGGACAGACCTTCAAAAAATGGCTTGTCGTCAACGTGTTAAAAAATGACGGATTTGTGGTTGTGCTAAAAATCGAATAAGTTCCCGCTACTGAATTTCGTAAGGAAGAGCACTGAGCAAAAATATAGAATCGTTCTGGGTGGTTATGCAACATTTTTGTCAATGTAAAAAAGTAAATATTTTGATTTTTTTCCCTTGTATTGACCTTCACCTTGACCCGTCATACCCTCCGATACCTTCTTTTGAGAAAAGTGTCGAAGTGGTTTTGTAGATTCTCTGCAAGATATCCCCTATCATGATAATTTATAATATATGATTAAAACTGTAAGATTGTTTTCAAAGAACTGTAAAGCCACCGATGCATGGTTTCTACTAAATTTCCTTTCCAGAAAAGAGCGAATAAATGGGGTGTAATGCGACATCCGATGGTGCTGAATTTTGTTAACGAACGCTTACTCGACTGTGCCTTCTTCTACACGCTTCATGTCCTAGGTACGTCTGCATGTAACAATCTCTTCTTGGCTCATTGCCAACTAAATTCCATTCCAGCTTTCGCCATCTTTCTGCTGTTGTTGTCGTCGCACATCTTTTCGCACACAACGGCTAAAGACATCGCAGTGACGGCGTTTATAGCTGTGTTTCTGTTCTTTATGGTGAGCGATAAAGAGCCGTAAACATCTTCGGAAGCACCGTATCAAAGTGGCCGCTAATGGTGCCAAATGTCCGTTCGTTCCAGCTGCTGAAAGGCGCGATCAAAGCGCGCATCTCACATTCGATCTCGTTTTGGTTCATTATCGCTTACGCTTTCAATATTGCTACATATGCTGCCACTTTTCTCTATGTTTGGCTACCGACCATATTCAGCTATGATGATTATCATCAGGAACAAAAGGTAGGTTTTTATCACAATTGTTCGAGTCAAAATGTTTTTTTTTTCAGCAAATTGTGCTCTGGTTTTTGCCCATTGTTGCAATCATCTCGGCTTGGGTGAACTTCCTGTACATCTTGCGCAAATCACCCTATGGAATTTATATCTTCATGATGTGCCGAATTCTAAAATCGTTCGGACATGTGAGTTTCACTGACTACTGTTACTGTCTCATTCTCTTACAAACGGTATACCTTGAATTATCAACGATTTCATATGGTCATTAGGATAGCAAACCAAATTTTAAGAAGACGCTAATGTTGCCAAAACATCCATCTTTCTCTTTCTTCAATGTACCCCGTAATATTCTTAGTCTAGACCCTCTGGAAGTCTCTGAAATTAGTAGGAATGCAAAAATTTGGAGAAGTAAGTGAACCACCCATCGTCCTTGATCAACGGTAGGCTAAATACACCAAATTTTACAGCATTCATCTTCCAAGTATGTTAATCGCGTATTACTCACACATCTACTCCATCCCAGAATGGCAGAATTTTATGATCAAAACATTTTTCCTTAATAAGTTCATCACTTATATTTTTCGAAAGAACTTAATGGTATATAATCATTTTTGGATACACAGCAGTTCACTTCATCAAGTTTACAGAAACTGAGTCATGACTAAGAAGAGCTCTTCCGTTTTCGTCACATTTCTTGCATTGACTCTCCTTCAAAAATCTACCAAGCTTCAACCTCAACCGTCCGCTTTTTTAGTTCTCTTGAGATTTCATACTGTAACTAAGCGTTTCGGCGCAGTCAATCAAGACTTGTTGAAACCGGAAAAACATAAAGTAATGCATTTCTTGATTTTTCTGTGGTAGGCTAAATACAGCAATTTTTACTAGCAGTGTATTATTGATGATGGACAATGTTTCGGTGTTCTACTTATATTAGAACAATTGTTAAATATGCGCCACTAGATAATGAATATACGTAGTAAGAGAGCCGTTGATAACTAGTAAGTAGAATAGGAATCTCGACTTCAGAAATAGAACATTGCAACTTTGAAAAAAATTTCAAGATAAATCTCGAGACGTGCCATAAATCAAAGTTCTTCTATCTATATATTCCTGACTGTGCATTCATAGTAGAAGAATGCAAATCAAATGCACAGGAACTTTTTTATCTATATTTCCGAAATTTACGATGCAAACCAAAAAGTAGAACATGATTTTGAAAAAATGTATTTTTAAGGCTTATGTAAACCTGGTAGGTAACTTTAGGGTTGCTTTTTTTATACATCTCTGTAACTCATTAGTAAACGAAGAATTGTTTCTTATGCTATAATACACTTTGGTTTTAATCAATCAAAGAGTATGCACACAGTATCTCATATCTAACGTATTAGGAATGTACAGTTTTCTGCAGATAAGCAAATGCTAGCCGTATGCTTGTCACTTCTCATAACCCTAGAACAAAAAAAGCACTACAGATTGCCACCATCTGGATTCCCACGTTGATCGCGTTTTCGTTCGCGTTCCATCTCATCATGAGGGATTCGGGTACGGAACCGTGGGAAAGCTTCGACAAAGTAAGTACTTTGCAAGGGAGAAGAGGACTTCTAAAGTTCCTTAACAGTTATGAAATTTGTTGTTTAGGTCGAGAACGCTACGGTATTACAAAAGCTCTTTGTGATTTTACAGTCGGTAACGAAAACATCTACAATGATGATAGGAGAAGTGGATGCGAATGATATCTTAGGTTTGTATATTTTTTTAATCTGTTTTTTTACCTCATGAAAAACCAATATTTCACTTTTACTTGTCAAAACGCCCTATGAAAACTGATATCGTTTTGCGCAAGAATTTTTCATTCACCAAAATTATCTTTAAATTATTTTGATGAAACTATAACCTATAATAGGAGTTTTAAATTAGACAAGGTGGCCGCAGACTCGATAGAGGCAAATGGTGCCATATATATAGCAAATATTCTCTGAAATTTTTCTATTAAATTCAGAAGAAATTTTACCTAACAAATCTAAATCTGCTGCACCAAAGTTGCGACTACCACAATTTTTACAAATCGAATCTGAAGTAAAGCTTTTTTTGAATTGAACATCGAAAATTTACTTGATCATTGTAACGAACTCATTTTACATAAAAATAATAATGCAAATTAAAATCATTCAAGATAAACATCCAAAATTTGCATTTCAAATCTAGCAAATCACCAAATTATCGCACTTTTTCTACCTACTTATTTTCAGCATCATTCCTTGTACTCCATCGACAAGAAAATTGCATTATATTTCACCTCCAATTACTTGAATCCACGAAAATTTCCGCTCTATTCTGCATTCGAGAAAGACGTTTGAAGTAGATGATTTATTGTGCTCATTTCCTGTCACATTAGCTCAAAGTGCAGCATCAGAGAGAACAATGGAAATCTATTAGATTTGATGAATAGTAATAATGGCATTTCAAAGAAAAGGGGATCGGAGTTGCCTGCTCTGGGACGCTCCTGCAAGGGGAAAGGGAATGCAAAAGGAATTTTTGACACCATGGGACACAAAGAAATTAGATATTTGATTTCATGTTTTAGAAAGTCCAGAATTATTTGCTAAAAAGTTCCTAGTTTCCTTAGTTCTGATAAATGCATCTAAACGCTCAGGGTCCACAACTCCGCGCAACGGCCTCGAGTCGGGTCAGATCAAACCCTTCCGCTAACGGGTTGTGAATTATTACCTCTTTGATCCACTCTTAATGCGCTATTGTTGACAGCTCTCTGACAAACTTCCCATTCATTGCGGGAGATTTTTGCCAGACTTTCATTCCTACTTACATAAGCAAAATAGCAAAACTCCTTCCTTTTTTCTCCACCTCCTCCTACCCATTTTTTCTACTCGCTCCCGTATCAACTCCCTATGACCTCCCCTACTGATCCAAACAATGTCATCCATGAGCAATGCATGCATAAGTAATTATGAAGACCTAGGCTCTTCCTATTAGGCAAAACAGGAAACCCGCGATAGGAGCGTGACGACCCGCATGTGCCTCATTTCCCCGCACTGTCACGCTCAATTAGTACGTATGCCGTTGGCAGCTAGATTAATGACCATTCTAAAGAGGGGATACTCCGAGTTTCGGAGGGTATCATGAGCTAGTTGAGGAGTAGAATAGGTATTACAGCAATGAAAGAATAAAAGCATGGCATATGGCAGTACAAGTGAAAAAGCGAAGAGAGAGAAAAACCTACCTGTATAGAATTGATTTATTATAATGTGGCTCCATATAGAAATAAATAACCAAAAAATGCTCATATGCAGCATAAAATTTCTCTCAACTCACCAAAGATTACTCTTATCCTTGAGGAACTATTATACAAAATTCAATTCTCAAAGGAGTTAGTCGCAGCACAAAAGTAGGGGTTTCTTTTAGGCTCCAGTCATTCCAAAGACTTGCACAGAGGTCTTGCTTATCGAATGTAAAAGCGTCGTTAAAGGTAACGGGAAAGGTCAAGAGGAAAAAAGTCAAAAAATCTCTTTTTATGCCAATGAGTGAATTTTCAAAAGTTGAACCCTTACCGCCACATTTTTGATAACTTTCTACCGGAGCAGCTTTTCTTTTGAATTATGTCAGTGGTATCATATTCAAAAACTTGCCAGTTTTATAGCAATACCAGTAATAATTAAATATAAAGATATTTTAGACGTGATAGGATAGACATATTTGCCAATTGTGGACAAAGTTCAAAACCTGTATCGTACGCAGCGATTTTTCAACGAAGTAGTACTAACTCAATCGCTTGAAATTAATTTTTAAGGAACAAAACAAAAAAGATAACAAAACTGTTTATGCATTGAATGTCTCAAACAATTTTGTTCCAGGTACCAGGCAATGGATTCCAAGCATACTTGTGCTAGTTTTCGAGATCGTTACTGTCATCCTGCTGATGAACCTTATGGTAAGCGTTTCATCTCATCATCTTCTTATTTATCCTTTCAAAAGTATCTTTTCGTTATCATTTCGAGGAAAAGGCGGATCTTCTGTTTTGATTTGGGATAATATAAAGGCTTCAAAAGAACTTGGGAAATTCCTGTTCAATCACTTTTCTTCATTTACCAAATATTTTCTATCAATTTAGCAACTGTAAAAAAATCTGCTTCCTTCTTCCAAACAATTTGTACAGAAGCCATATCACATTGTATAGGCAATGTGATGGCATCCGCTGTGAAGAAGCTGTCCTTGCCCGTTTACAGCTTGAGATTCCCACATTTGCCCATAAACGTGAAGAGAAAAAACCTGCTGACTATTTGTTTTGGACAATGATGCGTTCACACCGACGACGTCTTGACAATCAGCAAGAAATGACATTTTTCAGGTTTCGCTCGCAGTGGGAGACGTAAGCGATCTACGAAACTCGGCACAGGACAAACTATTGAAAATCAAGGTACGGGGCTTCATAAAAAGTCAGGGCTTAGAACTTAGAAGCTTCTTGGAAATATCTTCATCATATCCAGTAATTATTAGTGTTATTAGGAATGCTAGGAAAAAGAGAAGGGAAATATACAAGAAAAAATAGGCAGAGAAGCATACTAATTGGTATAGGTTTTCTCTTTAACCTGACCTACTAAACTTAGAATTTCCAGGCTTTATCTATTATAGGTTCTATAACCCCATAAAAATAAATTATGCCCCAATAAATCTGCAGAAATTGCTCCACTGCCACATAATTCTCACCTATGCTGACAAGTGCGATGATAGAGTCGTATAATCTATACACCTGCTACACATTTCCGGCAGTTGGCCTTGACTACAGTATACTTAGTGAAGCTCAATAATTGCGTAGTTTTGAGGGGTCGACTCAACCGGCCTTTTCGTTTTGCTATCTACATGAAACAATTTCTTGTTCCTAAAAAATAAATGCTAGGAAAACGCAAGTAGATAAAAAAGGCGACAGCCAAGTTCGTACTTTTGCATTGCATATGTATCAAGTTCTAAATGATGTGAAAATGAAATTTGGTTTGATCACACAAGGGATCTTTCTGCGACCTTGCTTCCAGGAAATTTTCCAAGTATAAGAAGGAATTTTTCACGGAAAAGCGGATGCATTTTCCTTCTCCCATCATGCGAGGACCGAGGACGAAGTTTTTGAGTCTATTTGATGATTATGTGTAAGCAAAATAACTTCAAATTTCAACTTGCATAAACATCAGGATCGTGTATAATCATTTCTGCGCTTGATTTATACTGAGAATTATTTTACTTTATTTTTGGTTTTCGAGTTTGATCAGCTTTCGAAAAATGCGTAAATTCTCTTCAATCCGCTATCAAAAATCAAACTTTTGAACTGGTTTATAGGCTAATACCTAATCTAAATTATGCCCAAAAATGACTACGTCACAATCAGAGGGAGAAAAGTTACGAAATTAGTTGCAAAACTTATGTGCCAACCTACTATTTTACAAGTTTGAAAAAATTATCACACGTCTGCGATTCGTAAAATAAAACTTACTCTTATTCCCTATTGGAAAATTTTTTTCGATGTCTTCGAGAGTTTTTCTTATATGCTTACATCTTATTAAATTCGTTATGTTCTTCTTTAATGCATTGTAAGTTTTACTTTCCATGCTGATGGAATGGTAGCAGCATCATGATGCAAAAATACTGAACAAAACAACTGTATTTTGTGAAAGATCAAAAATCATGTTGCCATATACAGGCAAAAATTAAATTTACGAAATATCTTTTTGCAATAATGACTGGACTGTCCACTATTATATCCATATCTTTACAAAGAGAAGACACTACCTTTACCACTGCTGTTTTCAAGGCAGATACCTTTTTCAAAAATCAAAACAAGTTTTCTGAAATGTAGAACACAAGTATCAAATTTCACCAAAACAATTCTCAGTTGATGAATGGTTTAGGTAAACTTCGTCATTGAAGCCCTTCAATTGAGTGAGCAGTACACAATGAATGGAATACCGTTCGAACCACTTCACAAGCGAATAACCAACAATGTACTGGTGATTCACAGTGACGGTAGCTACTTCACCAGATATGACGTATCGCTTCGTTTCGGTACTGTAGCAAATATTCTCGAAAATTTGTTGTTAAATATTTTAACTCAGGTGGTGAGAGACACGAGCTGATAACTGCACGAACTGTTCATGGTGACAAAGACAGGGTAATTACTTCAATTTTTTGTGATGAAAATTTTAATGAATAGATTGAGATAGCTTAGCTTGCTTTTGAGTAGCTTAATTTATGGTAGACCCTACATCACCGGATTCCTTTTTCTTGCAAAACTTCACTAAATGGTTCATTTCAACATGTTTGTTTGAGGAAAATCAGCGATTTTAGGCATACCAACTCTCATTCCTCGAACCTGGCATGCGCGTTCGGATACATCCTTTGAGAGGTAAGCTTCTAAACAGATCGTTTGAAACGTCATTTTGTACTTTTTAAGAAGATATTACTCAGTTTATAGTATAACCTTACTCAGCAAGTGAACTTGGCCAAGGCTTAGGCTACGTCTAGAGCTGCCCGTGCCACCGCCGTTCCAACACGTGCTGGCGCCATGCCGGGACGTCAATCAATCAATAACTGCATGTGGCATGGGTTCCGGCGCGGCGCTAGCATAACATCGGCATACGGGCAACTCTGGACAGCCTAATTTTTGAATAAAATCCTGTAAAATCATGTTAAAAACTGATTATTTTAGGACGACCACATTCGGTGTTTTTCAATAGCTGCTCGATGAAACTGATTGAAACTGTTGACTCAGGGATTCCCGAACTTGAACCCGATCCGGACAATTATGAGGTAGGAGTATATATTACTAACAACTAATTCTGCAGTGATGTTTGTTTAAATTAACTCATTTTTATTTATTCACAGGACTACGACACCTTTGCCCGACGCTATGCCAAATGGGTAATCGGACTTGACTGGACGGGCTATATAGACATGTGATTGCATAATACATTATTGACCCTTCTGATGATTGCATAATAAATTTTGTCAAATTTATAGAGGAAAGAAGCACCGCTTTGGGAAGCTGTTTTCCACAAACGACATCAGCTGAACGGAAAAGACACAAAAACACGTGGCACCACACAGGAGTTTACATAGCATAGATTAGACAGTTTTTCCCCTACAATAGGAACCTCCCCTTATACATCACCTTAAAAAACAAAATTCACTTACGCAATTCTAGCCAGAAATACGCTTACCTTCCCCATTGTTATCTCATGGTTATCTATTCACTTATATCATTGCAGAAGTGATAAAGATGATATTCCAAAAGAGTAGGTTTGGAGAACCTATCGAATCGTGTCGCGATCAAACGCTTGTAATTTTCGTACAGAGTATCACAGCGAATAACTTCATATCAACAATCAATATCGAAAAAAACAAAGATAAACGACTAAGCAATTTTATTTTCCGTGTATTCTTCTTCGTGTCGCCTTAGCGAAAAGTAAAGTTCTGCTTTATACTCTGACTAATCGATGTACAGTACAATTTGACATTGCGTACTTGGCACTCAATATGTTTTGGCTAATCTGTCAATAAAATTGAATTATCGGATGAACAGAAAAAGTACGGTGTGGATCTCGAGCGCAAAACTGCTAGATAACACAATGAGAATAGAGGTGTTTATCACAATTCTGAATGGAGCAAAAGAGGTGGAGGATGTAAGACGAAATGATGTCTACCATATACAGTCATTCTCATTTGTCAGAGTTCATGTTCAACTCCATAAATCTTGGCATTGTTTGATTCTTCTGGTTAATTTCTTTAGCAGCGTCCGAGATTGGTACAGATATTTATTCCACAACGTACAGACTAACGTCTCAGCAAACTCGCCTTCTTCAGAGTCTGAAAAGTTGAAAAACATAAGTAAATTATCCGATTAAACACCTTGTCAATTACAGAAAAGAGCCCAACCCTTTAGAAAAGCATTCTCATTTGACCGGTCGCTTTTCGCAGCTGCACACTTTGTCGGATTTTCCATAAGCAGGATAGAGCGTCAGAGTCTTCTTGCTTCCGTCGTTTGTGTTGTTTTTTGGTGACTGATATAAGTTTACCTCATATCTTCGATACAGAGTCATGTACTCTGGAGCGGTAGTAATCTGCCTTACCTCTTGGCATAATACATGGCGTTAAGTTGGCACACATCGCGGAAAGTTGCCAATCCCGGCATTAGTTCGCGGACTGGGATAGATATTGATAACTCATATTAACATCACCATCTTTACGAAAATTTGACGACGCAATCCTCCCCAAAACGTTTAAATCTCGCACGTTCAAACCTTCATGCGTCAACTTCTGCACTAACCAAATGCCTGTGGGAACTTATTGCTGCTTGCAAAACAATCGAAGGATTGCACAAACAAGAGGCGCTTGTAAGAAGGCATGATCGATATAGATGCTTTTCAGACTTTAAACCTGAAATAACAGCTGACTGATATGGATAATGAGGAGCCGGAATTGTTACAAAAGAGATTATGGGCAAATTGTAAAAATCAGTTGAAATTGCTATGGTTTGCTAAAAATCCGACTCTTCTTTCATACATTTTATTTGGTGATGTTTAGTGAAAAGTAGAATTTTTAGATGAATCTGCCTGGTAAAATGTGTGATATATCGCGGATCGCGATCAAGAGACCAGCATACGTTACTGTAGTGTAGAAATGTGTTTATGTAGTTTCAGTGTTTTGTTTACGTATGCTTTACTCATTGCCCTTTTTGGGTAATGATCATTCTCATTGTGACTTCGCCCCCGATAAAGCACTTATTCGCTGGTGTTTGGACACGACAGATTGGACGGCTGAAGCAGGACAATCGGCACACTGAATCACCACTTTATGGTGCATCGGCCGTCGTCAAAGAAAAGGACCAGGACAAGGAAGAATCAGTTGCCATATACCAGCGTGGGTTTTTTCTTATTATGATCATTTCACAGAAGACATCGGAGAAAGAAGGTCGATTCCGGAACAGGTTCTTGAGAATAGGCATATTAGTCAGGAACACAGGAGCAAGAAGTCACAATAATTAGGCAGTTTTACCGAATGGTTGGACATACTGGATTAGAATTAGCGAAAGCGCTACTGACACGGTATTGCCGTAAACTCAAGGTTTTGGCAGAAGAATGTGAGGCGGCAAAGGAGAACATTTATGATGAAGAGGAAGACGGCATAAAAGGCAAAACGATAGTTGGAAGAAATGAAAAAGTTAACTTCGACAAGCCTGTGGAAATTTGCGGAGGTTGTGAATTCAAAAAATGAGCTGACAGAGGAGCAAGAGCAGGAGGTACAAAATTATCTGGAGAAGGCTCAGGCGGCGATTGATCGTGCCGAAACTGTCACAATTCAGATGAAATCTTTAAAGAAAAGTCTTGAACGCAAAAACGCAAAACGTTACCTTCAAAGTTCGGATATTTGCTTACAGGAAAGCAACAGAGACCAATAGATGTGTCGGAAAGGACACTGGGAGTGTCTGAACATCAGTGACAATGGTCCAGAGAATCGCGAACTTCGAAGCAGTTTTTGAGGACGACAGAGATCGGTGGGACAAGCACTGGACCATGGACTCAGCTGGCATATGTGAGTTCACTGGTACAAAGGATGCAGAGAAGGCGGCTAACAACGCAAAAGTTGCCAGATTTTTTGAGGATACAATAAAGAGACGCAACGGCTTTAATATGCACGTTGCCGAAGGAGAACCACACCCAACTACCGGATAATAGAGCCATAGCAAACAAACGGTTTATTGGTATCCTACACAGACTGGAATTGGATCCAAACTTTCTACAAGCACATGATCGGACAATGCAAGATCAGTTGGAAAAAATAACTGAAAAAGTTTCCGATGGACAACCAATTTTTAGAGATTCCATAGCTACTTTAATGGTCAAAAAAGCGATGCCACATCAGGAAGAGGATCTGCGTAGCCGTTGTTGGATCTAACAAAAATTTCGAGGTTTATTTCTACTGGACGAGCAGCTGCGAGTATGCTCATTTTTATCGGACGATCAATGCATGGACTGAATGAGGATCGCCAAGCTGAAATCCTTGAAAGAGTCAAGAAGTTAAGAGACGTTCAGAATTGCCCAGTTTCTATTTTAAGAGAAACTATGCAACCTGCCCGAATGATTATTCAAGATCATCAGAAACGCCATCTCTCCACCAAGTATATTTCCAAGGACAACACCCTACATCTATTCCAAGACAGTCAATCAATCTGGCGCTCACGAGATCAACTGGGAAAGTTATCACTAAGCTATCAAACGCAAAATCCTATTTACATTGCTCCAAACACCGCCAGCTTCAGTGATAATCAAAGAAGCGCATAGTTTCTATCATAGACTAGTGGAACACACGATAATGGCGGTATGAACACGCCGTGAGGCGGAGGAAGCGATTCAGTCATGCAGAATACTGAACAGTGGAAAGTATGGCAACATCATTACCTGACTAGCCTGCGAGAAAAACAACTGAAGAACATTTGAAGAAAAAGACTTGGACAAGAAACGCTAACAGTGGGGTCGGTAGTACTTATCAGCGACCCAGTCTTACTAAGAAATTCGTGGAAATTGGCACGTATAGCGGATATTCGACGTGGAACAGATGGTGTAATTCGAGAGGCAGAGCTAGTGACTAATAACAGACGTAAAGTTAGACGACCAGTGAATCTGCTGATTCCATTCGAAATTGTCGACGACATGAGCGAGACGACAGATAAAGAGTTAACGTCGTCATTGAATGAAAATTCAAAAGAAGAAACGTTGGAGAAGCCCTATAACCTCAGATCCCGGCAGATGAGCTGTAATGTAGAGAATGTTGTGACAACCACAAGAAAAAGAAATCCGCGCAACTCAAGAACAAATGGTTTCTATTCTATATTATGGTCCTGATATTAACTACTCTTGTGTGAAGAATCTCTACTTCATGGTATCTATATCCTACTATAATAACGCGCTAAGGCCGTCTGTTTTTTTCGTGTGTGTGTCTATGTGAAAATCTGTCTGTCACGAAATTTATAGAGGAAGCTGCAACTAAGCTATCGGGCTGCAATTTTGCATAACATACCGCGCCAGCGTGTGGGCCCACCATGCAGGAGGACGAGCCGGTTCGATAAGCGGGTCTCTCACAATTTGCGCGTCAGACGGGTCCATGCGCCTATTGGCACGCAAAACTGGGTCGCTAATTCGACTTTTTGCAAAGTTATGATTTGCCTGACAAGTAACTCTGCACGCCATGAATTCTAGCCCAAAAAGTGCTCAAAAAGTTTGCTTTTTTGCGAAAACAGCGCCAAAAAGTGAATAGCGCGTAGATAGTCGATTTGACAAGGTTTTATTTGCAAAAACTGAGAAGATTTTTGCATTGAAATGTAGCCCAAGGTGACTATTATCCTTATGATGATTATCAAACTAAAACAAATTTAGTAATTCGTTCAAATTCGCATTTGTTTCCTTGCAACAAAGTTTTTTTTCTCAAAATTACCGATCTTACATGGAGATGCTTCATGAATGAACAGTTGTTTACGATTCACTTGTGATGCTCAGCATCGCGTGGTGAGTTTCAAAGCGATTCTCATGCGAACATGAGAAATACGGATAGGGAGCCAGTGCGAACCTCCGCGAAGCGGAGGGACGCACTGGTATACTATATATCGCTGCTTATCTATATATATAGTATACTACATATGGTTGCTCATCTATATATGTAATCTATATTGGTGCGGTTCTCTTTTGGTACAACTATAAAAAGAATATATTCAATGCTGTGGCCGGGAGTATCGCGGATCGCGATTAATAGAGACCAGCGTACGTTACTGTAGTGTAGAAATATATTTATGTAGTTTCAATGTTTTTTTACGTATGCTTTACTCATTGCTCTTTGGGCAATGATCTTTCTCATTGTGAGTTCGCCCCCGATAAAGCACTTATTCGACGCTGGTGTTTGGACACGACAGATTGGATGGTTGAAGCAGGACAGTCGGCACACTGAATCACCACTTCATGATATCCGGCACTATCCGGGAGATGATGATTTTCTTGGAAAGCTACAGAGATGCACCAAAATGTCAGAAGGAAATACGCATTTGATAACGAGTTAGCGTAGATCACCAATTTGGGTTATAATTGGCCTTTATAGAGAGTTGTTAAACAAACTCTGATTACGTGGGCTTTCCTCAGTAACATCAAGCAGCTCACATTAGCAATATGATGTGACGATGCACGACGTCATAAGGATCGCACACACAAGGGATTTAAGTGGAAAAAAAGCAAGAAAAAACAAAGTCCCGAAAAAATTCAAAGGAGATTCATGAGAAGTTTTTTTTATGAATCATGTAAATGAAAAGGCTTCGAAAATGTCCCT